CCATTGATCTTCACTGTTTAGAAAAAAGATCACGATGAATGCGACAACATAACCTATTTATAACAAACTGTTCTAGAGAAAAGCACTTAAAATTTTTACCCTCTCACACTAAAAGCATTTTGAAAGACATTTGTAACAGACATTAGCGGAACCTATGGTCAGATAGTATATCAGTCTATATCCTAAAGATAACTCGTCTCTCACTTGCAGAACGTGGTTGAAATAAAAATCCAGTACCGTTTCAAATTGGAAAAAAATTGAAAAACACTGATTTTATATCGATTTTTTTCCTCATGTTTTCTTAATATCTAAATCTATTATAGTGAAACATGAGGGCGATTATTGACAGATGCAAATCATTAAATCAGCAGTTCATGACTGAATAAACATTTGTAAAAAAAAGCACTTATTTTGTAGTCAGCGTATTTTGCTTCATCTCCATCTTTTATTTATTTATTCATTCATTTATTAAACTTTGTTTATTTATGGTAAAGCATAGTAAATATTATTAAACTTCCCTTCCCCATAACCCTATGGCTCTCAGCAATAGGCCTACATATTAGCCTGTCATGAAACTTAAAGGTTTCAGTAACAAAGCTAAATTAAAAAGATTAGAAAATAGGCCTAATGAGATTATTTTTTTCTATAATATTTTTATCGTTTAATTAAATCGAATAAATACTGTAATTTACATAAAAAAGAACAACGCTATTATTTTCCAATAATCAATAACTTGAAGATTCATACATTCATACATTTTCCCCAACCAAAAAGTGTCACCACTACCGCATTTAACTAACAAAAATGTCGGCATTTCATCAATAATGCAATGGGGTCGTAAACCACCCCAGCCGTACGACCCCCAGCTGGCAGGAATATGTTGAAAAATATGCCAGGGTTAAGAAAATTAGAAAGTAACGGGGCTATTTTTTCTATAATTTTTTCTTTACTTTATTAAAATATATAACTAAATTACAAAAAGCTTCACAAACACTTCTGCTATAACNTGATATAAGTACCATGGGTTGCAGATACAGGAAAGGATCACAGGTTTTATCACATAATGTTCTCAGGAAATTACTGTTTAAAGTGATATGCTTTTGAGGAAATTATTCAGAATGCTTTTCTAAAATCTTACTCATATTACACTTCCTAATTACTAGTACTAGTACTTCTTTTTTCCTTTTATTGTAACAATACGATATCAATTTCAACTCCCAGCTGAGCTAAACAGATGTCTTTTTTTTTTTAGTTTTGGTCTTAAATTTTTGAATATTGCCTGACATAGCTGGTACAAAGGACTGTTCCTCTGATCAAAATATTTTGGTGAAAAAACGTGCCAACTGTTTTATTTCATAAGTAAATTAGCACAATTGTCATATAAACATGAAACAAATTTATAGCTCTATAGATGTTATAATTACAGTGACTTATAATGGAATAATCTGAGTTTAGTAAAACAAAACTGAAAACATGAATGGGAAATACATATACGTAGTGAAGAAGAAAAAGGTATAATTGACATCTGTATCAGTATGTAAGGAAAAGAGTTGTAAATAAAATCTTTTTTTTTAACAGACTTCTAGTGTAACACCAGGCAGGGTCTGACATACCTACTGGCGTTACTTGCTTACACAATGCAAGTGATTTCTGCAGTCGGGAACAACAATTTAAGTCATACTTGTCTACAAATGAAGTGACTTGCTAACAGATCACTTTCACTTGCATATATATACCGTCTAAGTTAAATTCTCCACAGAATCAAGAAAATCTGATCAAAAAGTTTCCCACTGACCTTTTTTTGTGGATTTTATGTCTATTGATATTTCAGTGTTCTCCACAATGCTCTATCTCACTGCATTACTCTATATGAACAACCCTCTATCTTTCAACTAGATACTGATACGCAGGGCGTTCTCCAGCAAGCTAGGACACCAGTTTGCTTACTTATTTAATCTTAAAAATACACAGATATTCCATTATTGCAAAATTTGTGAAAGTAAAAAGGTAAAATTTGGTCAATATCATGTGCCTCATATACTAGTATTCTATTTTAGGCATGTCGGAGTATGAAAGTTGGCAATAAAATTGACTTTACAAATGTACAATATAATATTGTGTGATGTGGCAAATATAATTATCTATTAGCCTTACAGAGATTGCTGTTTGCATTTGGCTAACTTTAGGGTTTGGCAAGCAACAATCCATATCGCCATCATATAGTCCTTGAAAAGATGCAGTTTCCCCAATACAGAGACAGTTCTTTTGGCCTTAACATATAAGAACAAGCACTCACCATTTGAACATGTAATTTTTGAGTGGGGCTATTAAGATTCTGTTTCATCCCCCTCCCACACAGTATTTAAAATAATTAGTGGGACAAGTAGGTTTTGGAGTGAGGCAACTAGATTTTCAGACTTGCTTGCCCACCGACAAGTTTCTCAAAACAGTTATTGTCAAGCCCTGCCAGTATCACATGAAACCTTCACAAAACAATGAAAATTAATAATATATTTAGGTTTTAAATATATATGCAAGTTTAAAATGACATGAAAGTACAGGAAAGAAGTTTTTCATTAAGAAAAAAACAATACTAGTACACTGAAAATTTTCTTCCTTAGCCAATGAACTGCTCTCAATCCATACACTGTGCATTTTGCTGCCTCCTAGGACTGCTCCCGAGGCAAGTGCAGCTCTGTAGTACATTTTTGTCTACATATATGATTAAGAAATTTAACAGACATGTTTGCAGAACTTGGCCTCTTCTTGACTAAAACATTTAAAAGACCAGGAGTGAGAATGAATTAAAACACTGATACTGGGGACACATAGCACTATACTTTTTTCAAATTCAAGCTGATCTCGATTTAATGATCAAAATGCATAAAGAATTTACGTTTAAAAAACTTTGGGCCGACATAGTTAATATAGTGTATTGCACCACACATGAGCACCACTCCAGTTAAATATGCATCCCTTGGTGACCTTATTGGAACAAACTCACGCTCGTGTCAAGTGTCAGAAATGAACGAAGTATGCGACAAATGCGGCTCCGATATCATTGCACCTTGAATACGTGTGCAACGTTCTTAAGTGGCGATCAAATGATCATTGAATTATCTTCTCACCACTATAACCATAACAAAATATACGTACCAGACACCGAGAGACTGAGTCTGATTCTGAAGACAGTACTGAAACCGAATCGTCAACTCAAATGAAATTACATGTGGGCCTATGGGTGTGCTTCTGTATGCCCTAGATCCAACTGGGAGCTTACCTTGGATTTGGTAATGAGATGATTGGCCAGCTTGACGACTGCAAAGTTCCCTTTCCCGATCGTTCTCTCCATCTCATAGTAACCCACCCGAACTGGCGCAACATTTTTCCTGCTTGCAACCAGCTGGTCCGCCATTTTGTTTACGCAAAATATCTTCGGAGCCTCTATTTCAGAAATAGGTCAATTTCTACAGGAGCTAGTGTGATCGAGCGCTTGTTAGCTGCAGGACGAGTGGATTGTTGGATGAAATACTGAAAACTTCAGTTGATTTTTAGTCTGAATAATACACCAAAAGTCAAGTGGTGAACGTCTCATGAAAACCTTATTTATAGTGAACACAGTGTCAAAGACACTGGTGTCAAAGGCATCACTGGTGCCGTGGAAACTGGGATCTCCTAAGCACGAAAATTCATGCGTTAGCACTCCTATTGAAGATTCTGATATGTACTGTTAGCACAGACACTACATATCAGAATCTTCAATAGGAGTGCTAACGCATGGATTTGCGTGCTAGGATCTCCTCAAATTGGATGTTTTTTGTTCAAGGACTAAAACTAAAATAGCAGTAAGCCAGGCAGGGGGCGGGAATAGAGCTCTCTCATGATGAACTGACCATTTGCTTACGTCAAATAGAAGAAAATTAATGTCATTTTGTTTATTTAAAAGCAGTATTTACAGATATAATGAAGATAAGGGTTGTAACTTTTTGCGTAGAATGCAAAGTTGAAGATGAATTTCAGGTACATGTATCCATTCAAATTAAGATGAAGTTTCCACTGATAATTTTGTCTGTTGTTTTTAGTTCTTTTATTATTCTTCCATTGCCCTCTTATTTGTTCCCAGCTGTAATGCTTTCAAAAACATGCCAAATATATTTTTGAAAAAATTTAATGACATTATTCATGTACAAGGTTAGTGTAAACCAAGGAGCCCGTCACTCCTTGTGTAAACTAACCCCCATTTTTTAGCTAACCTTGTCAGGTGACGAAAGCAGCAGAGGCAAGCTGGTGTTAATGTTAGTTGCTAGTAATTCCTGAAACTGGGGGCATGTTGTATAGACTTAAAAGCCCTGTATGCCCCATTCGGTTTTAATCTCAGATTTTTTTTCATCTTCGGCAGGTTTTTCTGGTCAATTAGCAGTTTTGATATTCTGTACCATATGTAATTCCACTGCTTTTTTATAGCTTTGAAATTTAACATTAATGTTAATGAAGAGAGTAAAATGGATAATTATATTAATAATCCACTTTCCCTAAAAGGAACCAGTTAGAGGTTGATATTTTTGATTGCACTGATGAGACTTTTCCAACTTCTGTTGGAATTCTGTCTTTTTTGGGGTCATTCTTGAGAATCGTATACCCTGGATCCCTGGCCAATTTTCCTACTTTCTCAGTGAGAACTGTCTCATCCCTGTGATTGACATTTTAATTGATACTTTAAAAATAACTAACTCTAGAAGTACAGGTGACTGAGAGATTCAAGGAAGCATGCAGTCTATGAGAGTAGTAAAAGAATTTTGTTGATCCTGCAAATCTAGTGAAAAAGTTGGAAAACATGGCATGGGGTCTAGGGGGTGGCCTAGACCAATGATATTTGGCTCTCAAAAATTTGGAAATCTGTTGGTAGTTGGAAAAATATCATCCTTGTTTAATGTTACACAAATAAATTGATTTTGTGCATCAAGGGGGGAAAAAAATGAGAAAATAAACAAGTACACCAATACGATTTTTCACAAACAGTTGTATTTAATAGTTAACCCAGACTTGATGTATCACAAACATTTGTCTGTTATTTTCCACATTTCTTCTTCTGCTCAATGCTTTACCTCCTTCCTGAATCTTGTCCAATACATCCAAAATCAACATCATCACTAAGTTTGGCTTACAAGCCAAGAAACAAGTTTTCACAGCAAATATTACCTATGTACTAGGATTGTCAGACTAAAGACCGGGACACACTGAAAACTGCCCAACAGCGATATTGTCCAAGTCTGTTGTGTTACGTTAATGGTCATCATCATACCAGTCGTGCCCAGGTTGATCAAATGGGCTGTGACTTAACTTTCGACCTGGGATGTTGTAGCCGATAATTGACCTACGACCAATCTGTTCTCCGACAAAGAAGATGAAAAGGAACTCCAGTCCAACTAAACCATTACGAGCAGCTTCCTGCAAGGAAAATTATGCACTGGTCAAAATAATATGAACAATAAATTTAATAAAATTTTCAATTGGAATTGAAGTGTACAAACAAATTTAAAGTGAAAAAATTTGGAACTTTTTTACAGGATATTAAGCATGTTATTTGTTTCACTGCACTTTTTAGTACCTGCAAAGTTCCACACAAATTCAACAAATGTCAAATTGAAGCTGAAGTAAAAGATATACATCAGCCTTCAATAAAAACGTTCCAGTTTAAAAAAAAATTCTAGCATCAATAAAGATTTTCTGTTGGAGTTTGTACACAGAAGTGACCAGTTGTCATTGGTAGTGTTTTCTAAATTTTGTCGTGCATTATCAGGTACGTAAGGATGGATGTGAAATATGGCTATCTGCCCCGGGGCCATTAAGGCAGACAGGGTGCCCAGGGGGAATTAACTCTTGTCAGCAGGCACCAGCTGGATCTGGTGCCCCAGCACCCCCCCCCCCCCCCCCCAAAAAAAAAAAATAAATAAAAAAATAATAATAAAAAATAAAAATAATAATAATCTGAAGATTACTGCCCAAGATGCGTTAAAGGCTTGATGAATGTGTCAGAGCAAGCAGGGGGCCCGTGTTCTCTACTAAGCCCATTATTTGGATTTTGAGAGATACCAGGAGTCTCTTTAATACAGCATCTCATAGGGGCTACATTTGAATGTCTGTATTTTGTCATAAAGTTGTAACAACACCTTTAGGGTTTACTATGTATGGGGGGGGGTGACACATTACGAGTTGGAAAAACACTTTTTAATAATAATATTCAAGAAGGGGAGGGGGTGTGACATACCATGAATCCCGTCTAGAAGCAAAACTGAAGCGGCAATATATACTTACTCTTACAGTAACCTCCCTCCATGTGCCCTTGTCTATTCTTGCATATCCCTTCTGTAAGCCTGTGATGACCTGTGAAAGTTCACTGGGTCTGGGCGGCTGGAGTTCTACCTTAGCATACTTCCAGAAAGTCTGCAGCCTTGGCGTGGCAAAGTCGACGGTCTCTGGAATCACATATGTCAGATTTATCACTAAAGGAATAGGAAAGACACCACTACTGGATGGAGGATGGAGGAATGGCTACTAAGCTGGCCACTATTGTTTGCCTGCCTTCAGTTGTATCAAAATTTTATCCCATTTACCTTCCACCAGTCAACTAAGCCTGCCAAATGGGGTAGAAATGTATGGCACAGTTATTCCCATGAGAGTTGGTAAAAATGACTGAGGGTTAAATATAGCACAGAAAGAAAGCGGAAAATATCTGTTCAAATATAATTTTACAGTATATAATGTTACCCTGTGGTATATTTTAAAAACATGCTATTTAAAACTATATGGTTGGGTTTAGTGGCAATTATTAGACATGTCAATTTAAATGCATCTTTATTAAGATTTCAAAAAAAAGAGGGGGCAAAATGGAGTCTGAGAGAGGAGTGTGATAAGAATCAGTGCAATGAGACCATTTCTCCTAAAAAGCCTTTTTAGCCACGCTATATAATTTGTGTTCCGTCATTTTGCGGATATCTATCAATAGGCTAGTCAAAAGGACTCGGGGACAGAGATTAGAGAATCGGTTAGCCTCTGCCCTTGGTGTAATCATACTTTTCAAAGTCAAAGAGTACTTGATATATTGAGATGGGGGCAGCAGACTATTTAACTATATTTTTTCAATAAAAATTTTATTTTTTCCAAAATCACCTTACACCAGGAGACAAGTGAGCTAGAATAAATGCTGTTTTATCTGACCAGTGACTGCAGACCGTCAGGGAAATGTCGAGTGAACCTTGGAGAATGGCAACGTCTGACAAAGTGATTACAGTTGAACATACAAGTAGAAGGCGATACTTTTTCATTCTTAGTTAATCGAACTATTTAAAGAGACTCTTACAAGACAAATAATGCTGCTGTCACTTACTTATTCCAAAGTTAACCCCCTTCAGGACCCACCGCTGTAAAAACGCCATCTTGGATGCCGCTCACTTCTGCACACCCGCATGCGTGGTGACCTTGGGACAAACCTTGACCTATATTTTGATTCTCTAACGAGGCGCGCTGTTCGAACTTGTCGGACTTTTTCCGGCGTTTTTACGATCGCAGAGATAAAATTTGACATTTTAATGTAAATCTAATAGTCCTATCGATACTGCTCTTAAAATAAGGTCAAGGGAGGTTTGCGAAACCAGATCCATTTTTTTTTCAATGAAACAAGTCAAACAACGATAGCGGTAATACTGCATATTATGTAAAAGCGTTCAAAAGACTAAAAGCCGACTGACGTGTTCTTTTGTTAAACATATGTGACTATCTGGTGCAAAATCAATATGTCACTCTAGTAGTGGGCCTATTCAGGCTTCTCTAATTTCGAAATGTTTTACCCGAATCTGGGTCGGACGCCGGGGGGAGGGAGGATGGGGAGGGTCTCCGTTACTTATGCGACCATCTAATGTAGCAGTCAGTGATTGTCAAGGCTTACATGTATTATCTGGTTTCGCTTTATCTTACACATGACACATACATCAGTCTAACCCTCTGATATAAGGGGCCTCTAAAATAGTACAATAATTTTGTAAAAGACATTAGCGGAACCTAAGGTCAGATACATGTAGTAGGCCTATATCAGTCTATAGGCCTATCCTAAAGATAACTCGTCTCTCACTTGCAGAACGTGGTTGAAATAAAAATCCAGTACCGTTTCAAATTGGAAAAAAAATTGAAAAACACTGATTTTAGATCGATTTTTTTCCTCATGTTTTCTTAATATCCAAATCTATTATAGTGAAACATGAGGGCGATTATTGACAGATGCAAATCATATTTAATCAGCAGTTCATGACTGAATAAACACTTGTAAAAAAGCACTTATTTTGTAGTCAGCGTATTTTGCTTCATCTCCATCTTTTATTTATTTATACATTCATTTATTAAACTTTGTTAATTTATAGTAAAACATAGTAAATATTATTAAAATTCCCTTCCCCATAACCCTATGGCTCTCAGCAATAGGCCTACATATAAGCCTGTCATGAAACTTAAAGGTTTCAGTAACAAAGCTAAATTAAAAAGATTAGAAAATAGGCCTAATGAGATTATTTTTTTTCTATAATATTTTTATCGTTTAATTAAATCGAATAAATACTGTAATTTACATAAAAAAGAACAACGCTATTATTTTCCAATAATCAATAACTTGAAGATTCATACATTCATACATTTTCCCCAACCAAAAAGTGTCACCACTACCGCATTTAACTAACAAAAATGTCGGCATTTCATCAATAATGCAATGGGGTCGTAAACCACCCCAGCCGTACGACCCCCAGCTGGCAGGAATATGTTGAAAAATATGCCAGGGTTAAGAAAATTAGAAAGTAACGGGGCTATTTTTTCTATAATTTTTTCATTACTTTATTAAAATATATAACTAAATTACAAAAAGCTTCACAAACACTTCTGCTATATCAGAAACGGAGAACAAACCACAAAGACACATCTTATTATTTTTGTTAAAAAAACTCATTTACACATTATCCACAGGCTAGTATTTTAAAGGGATAATAACTCTTCGTTTTGGCCAAAAAATTATTTTTCCTGGAGTAAACAACAATTTTCCCATACTTACCAACGGTTAATGAATCCATTTTTACATTCAAAGTTACTACCTGTTTTTTTTTTTAAGTTTTTTTTTATAATCTCTTAAGAGATTATAACAGAGTATAGCCATCAATGGAGGTCACGTGATCTAAAGACGCTCAGATATCAGACCAATAGCTATAACTACCGTTTTTGTGGTAAAACAGAATGTATTATATTTCTATGAGTTGTTCACAATGTTTTTATTGTGAAATATAGATCTCATACGAAGAGTTATTATCCCTTTAATTTCCAATAATCAATAACTTACATTAACAAGATGTTTGGACTAAAATTTACAGAAGATGTATGTCTTAAAACAGACTGTTACTTAATTAGGCAGCTTAATATACGCGAAAGTCGGTATAGGAAATTAAGAAAAGTTTCAAGGAGGATCCAAACTTAATTCAGATTCTCCTTTGAGTTATCATGGTATTGGTAGGATTTCTTAACGTTTTAAAAGGATTATTATTTTCTTAGCAATCTTATCACGCCACATTGGACACAATTTAATTGACGATATACAAGTGTCTTTCAAGTCTTTAATCCACTCGAAAGTGATAAAGGTTCCTCCTCTTATTTTTTCAGGAGCGTCTTGGATCAGGTAAACCGGTTTCGTCACACCTAAGGTCTTAGCTTTACAGAGGATTAACTGGTGAGTCTCAAAGAGATCTGCCTTTACATAGACTTCATGTTCTCTCCGATCGTCCTGACAACGGCAAAGCTGTATGTCGGGCTTCTGCATGGTGTCTTCAACAAGTTTGAGCTCTTTCCTCCAATGGACATTAGAACCCAGTTTGAGCCTGTACCCAATCTGATTTGGATAGCAGGCGTTTTCTTTTTTATCCACCTTGATTAAATCTCCATCGGGCAATTTTTTCAATTTGGCTGCTTGTTCTGCAGCCGTGCTCCCGCCCTCTATATCCTCTAAAGTTATTGTGTACGTGGCCTAGAAAAAGAAACACATTTTCTGGTCTTCAAGCAACCATGTGATCACACTGCAGGCCAATTTTTTTCATCCAAACTGATGGATAGAGAGATAAGTTTTATTATTAGAAATAGAACCCATTGAATGCGTCAAATGTATTCAAATGTATTTTATTGAAGTTAACATGATCCTCCATTCAATATTTGGATTGCCATACACCCAGAATATTTTTATTTTGCTCAACGGAATTTTTGTGTTTTGAAAAATTATCATTTCCGTTCTTGTCATCCAAAATGTGTCTGGATGAGGCAAAAGTTTCATTTACATGTTCAAGGGTAACAAATACTGGTAATTTTAAAGGTGAACATATCAAGGAGGGATGCATTTGCTTTGATAAGTACATGAAAAAGAGCGCCATTATCCACTAAAAAGATAAAGGCGAAACTTGCGCAAAGTTCCTTACATACATCCATCTGTCATGAATATATTTGTATTATAATAAAATAAACACTCATTATATTATTAAAAAAAACAACATTATTTGGTTCACAGATGCTTTCATGACTGGACTACAGTTAAATGTCACAGTTATGAACAACTAATGTCAAACTATTGTCTATCTGTTTATTATTATCTTGCCAAGCGGTAGACGTGAAAACGTGAACAAAGCACGCCCTTATTAAGCAAAATCTGATTCTCAGTATGCAGGGACCTACAAAACATCAATATTAAAATTTACCAGTTTTTTGGTGAGTGCCCTTTGCTTTGGAACAGACGGGGCTTGCGCAAATTCTTTGTCTTCATTCCCCATGGTATGGCCGGATATGAATAATATTTTTTCCAAGTTTTGCAAGGCCGTCTTCTAACAGACTGCCAGGAGTTCGAAGCTCAGCCTCAAGACAGCGTGTATGATCAGGTTGACTTGAATCAAGCCTGTCGAACAAAGTCTTTGTGAAATGGGCCCATTGATCGACTTCTTAAAAAAAGGTGTTTGCTGAATGCGACAACATAACTTATTTACAACAAACGTCAATTTTATACCATAATGCAAAGTTAACAGCAAGATTTTTAAAATGTCCTATGTCTACAACTCTTTCAAAATAAGGACATGCGAGGTTAGTGAAACCAGATCCATTTTTCTCAATAACCCTTTAAAGAGAACGCACCAAGTCAAACAACGGTAGCGGTAATACTGCATGTAATGTAAATACGTTCAGCAGACACAAAGTTGAAGAACGCTTTCATTCGTACAAGTCTTTAAAAAACATACCCTGGTGCGCACACCCCTAAATTATTTACTCCTTTATTGTGTTTTTTAATTGAAGTTGTTAACCTTGCTTTTTAATGACTGTTTTTAACGGAGTTGCGAGTGCGCCACTTGCGGCCTAGATTGGCCCGACTCACGAGCATGTGAAAATAGTTTCACTGGATCTCAGTTTTCATTTATGATAGATCCTGAACAGGTAATTCAGTTGTGACCAAGTCTGTCAGAGTGAATAGACGAAACAGTCAACAGGTAAATCAAATATCTGGATCTATCATAAATGAAAACTTTCCAACTTTATGATCAGTTGATGATGACGACATGTGCAGTCCGTGTAGTACTGATACGGAGCAATAGAGACGCTTTCAGTTTGCAAGATGTTATTTCACATAAAAAAGTCTCCCGATGTGCATTATAAAAAAACATGTCAAAATATGTCAGTTAGAAAATATGAAAAAAATATCAACGGACGATGGAGCCTAAAAATGAAATATTTTGAGATGTTATTTGAACAGATATTTTCTGCTTTCTTTCTCTGCCCTATTCAGAATATAATCTTCGGTCGTTTTCGCCAACCCTTATTTGAACAATCATGTTATTGCACTCGCAGCAGTAATGTGTCATACATTACTTTGTCATTTGGAGGACTAGTACTTTTACAAATTGGGGGGTCGAATAATATCTGTTCAATTATCATTTATGAGAGGATTATAATAACTGGACGGCTGTTCCTTTTTTAGAAACTTTATTGAATCATAATGAATATACGAAAAAGAGCATCACAAATACTTGTTATAACAAAAGGCAGAGAGCAAACCACGAAAATATGTCACCACACCTGGTATTTTGTAAAAGGACTTATAAACAAATAATCCATAATTATGTATATACTCTTTGAATAATCAGATACTTGTATTTACAAAATGGCCTCATTAAAATTTACTGAAGAATTTTAAAATGTTTTGGAAATGTTGCAAAGAATAAAAAGGTCAAGATATTTAAAACACTGAGCAGAAAATCAAGCTAAATTACAGACAGGAACCAAACTTTATGCATTGGACAATGCACTTATTGGCTTAACTGTCTTTCTAGTCTTTAATCCACTCGAAAGTGATAAGAGATCCTCCTCTTATTTTTTCAGGAGCGTCTTGGACCAGGTAAACCGGCTTCATCATACCGAATGTCTTAGCCTTACAGAGGACTAACTGGTGAGTCTCGAGTAGATCTGCCATCACATAGACCACGTGTTCTCTCCGACCGTCCTGACAACGGCAAAGCTGTATGTCAGGCTTCTGCATGGCGTCTTCAACAAGCCTGAGTTCTTTCCTCCAATCGACATCAGAACCCATTTTGAGCTTGAACCCAATCTGATTTGGATTGCAGGCGCTTTCTGCTGTATCCACCTTGATTAAATCTCCGTCGGGCAGTTTTTTCACTTTGGCTGGATGTTCTGCAGCCGCACTCTCGTTGATGTTTCCGCAGTTTATTTCATCAAAAGTTCTTGAGTACAGAGCCTACAAAAAATTTTCTAAATTCAAGCAACCATTTAATGCGTCGAAGGCATTAAAAACCTTTTTATTCAAGTTTGCAAGATCCTCTGTTCAATATTTGGATTGTCAAACAAGGGAGAATACATCTTACGTGAAAAGTACATGACAGAAGCGCCATTATCAACTAAAAAGATAGAGACGAATGTTGAGCAAAGATCCGTACAACATTTATCTGTCATGAATTGTTTGTATTATAGAAAATAAACACGCATCATATAAAAAAACCTGGGTGCTCACTATTTGGTTCGCGGACTGGACTGGACTGCAATAACATGTCAAAGTTAGGCGCAACTGATGACAAACTTTTGTTTCTATGTTTATTGTTGCCAAGTGGAAGACAAAGAAGAGAATAAAATACACGCTCATTTAACAAAATCCGATTTTCAGTATGCAGGCATGTATTTAAACCCTCAACTGGACGACTTATAATCTTCAGAAACCTAAGAAACAAACATTTACCAGTTTTTTGGTGAGTGCCCGTTGCTTCGATGCAGGTGCAGATTGGGCTTGCGCAAATTCTTTGTCTTCATTCCCCATGCTAAGGCCGGACATTTGTACTTTAATGCCAAGTTAAGTAAGGATGTCTTGCAACAGATTGGCAGGATTGCGGAGCTCAGCTACAAGACAGCGGGAGTGATCAGGTCGACTTAAGCCTGTCGAACGAAATAAGGATTTAAGAAATGGGCCTATATATTGAACGACTTCTTAGAAAAAGGTGTTTGCTGAATGCGACAACTTAACCTATATACAACAAACGTCAATTTTATAATGCAAAGCCAACAATAAGATCTTGAAAATGTCCAATGTCTACAATTCTTTTAAAATAAGGACATGCGAGGTTAGTGAAACCAGATCCATTTTTCTCAATAAGCCTGTAAAGAGAACCCACCAAGTCAAACAACGATAGCGGTAATCTGCATGTAATGTAAATACGTTTAGCAGACTGTCAGGACAGTCGCCCCATATAATAGCCTCGAAATGAAAGATGATATCGCTATTCGCAATTCGCAATGCTTTATAAATAGTTACAGAACCCTGGATTGGCCCGACTCACGATCATGTTAAAATAGTTTCATTGGACCTCAGTTTTGATAGTTGGAAAGTTTTCGTTTATGATAGATCCTGAAAAGGTAATTCAGTTGTGACCAAGTCTGTCAGAGTGAACAGACGAAACAGTCAACAGGTAAATCAATATCTGGATCTATCATAAATGAAAACTTTCCAACTTATGATCAGTTGATGATGACGACAAGTGCAGTCCGTGCACCAGCTGTTACAGAGCAATGGAGTAAACTTACAGTTTTCAAGTTGTAATTTCACATTGAAAAAAAAAAAAAATCTCCCGAAGTGCATAATAAAAACATGTCAAAAATATGTCAGTTAGAAAATATGAAAAAAATATCAACGGACGATGGAGCCTAAAAATGAAATATTTTGAGATGTTATTTGAACAGATATTTTCTACTTTCTTTCCGTGCCCTAATTAGAATATAATCTTCAGTCGTTTTCGCCAACCCTTATTTGAACAATCATTTTATTGCACTCGCAGCAGTTATGTGTCATACATTACTTTGTCATATGGAGGACTAGTACTTTTACAAACTAGAGGGTCGAATTAATATCTGTTCAATTATCATTTATGAGAGGATTACTAAATAACTGGACGGCTGTTCCTTTTTTAGAAACTTTTTTGAATCACAATGAATATACGTAAAACAGTATTACAAATACTTGTTATAACAAAAGGCAGAGAAAAAACACGAAAAAGTGTGACCACACCCGATTTTTTGTAAAAGGAACTTATAAACAAATAATCCATAATTATGTTTATACTTTCTGAATAATCAGTTACTTGTATTTACAAGATGACCTCATTAAAATTTACTGAAGATGTAAGAAATGTCTTAAAATGTTGCAAAGAATAAAAAGGCCAAGATATTTAAAACAAGCTATGTTACATGTAGGAGCTATGTTACATGTAAGAACCAAAAACTGTTGTTATGTAATCCAGCAAACACAGAAAATTATTATAGCGATGCCATAATGTTTATATGACCAAAAACGTTATGGTTATGGTAACTTTTTAAAACTGATTCGTGAACAAAGGACTAATAAATCAGGCGAAACTTCTATAAATATCCACCTGAATGAAAATCATCTGCGATAAAACTTTCAGACATTCCCAAATGATTTTAATTTTCTTCATCAAACTCATAACGTGGCATATGGGAACCAATTCAATTGACAATGCACTTATTGGCTTAACTGTCTTTCTAGTCTTTAATCCACTCGAAAGTGATTAGAGATCCCCCTATTATTTTTTCAGGGGCGTCTTGAACCAGGTAAACCGGTTTCATCACACCGAAGGTCTTAGCCTTACAGAGGACTAACTGGTGAGTCTCGAGTAGATCTGCCATCACATAGACCACGTGTTCTCTCCGCTCGTCCTGACAACGGCAAAGCTGTATGTCAGGCTTCTGCATGGTGTCTTCAACAAGCTTGAGCTCTTTCCTCCAATCGACATCAGGACCGAGTTTGAGCTTGTACCCGATCTGTTTGGGATTGCAATCCCCTTTTATTATGTCCACCTTGATTAAATCTCCATCGGGCAGTTTCTTTGATTTGCTTCCGTCAATGCTTCCGCAATCTATATCTTCTAAAGGTCTTGTATACATAGCCTATAAAAAATAAACACACTTTTTCCTAAGTACAATACAAAGTCATGATGATGCCGTAGGCCTAAATTCGTTTCATTAATCAGATTATAGCCTCGGTTACATTTGCCATGCCATTTCTGTGCGGTGGCCGTAGGCCTTTACTGCCCATTTGTCCCCCTTCTCCAGGTAAGGCGTCTGTGTGGAGGCAGACGATGGCCATACGAATTCGGTTGGATTCACAATTTTCATAACCTCTATGATTTAATCAAGATGAAGATTTGAACTTTAAAAAAAAAATCAAAAACCCTTTGGTCGGAGCAATCGTAAATTGCATAGCGTTGGTCCAAAGTGCTCAATGAGCTGCAGCGACAATGTTTCAATCAGGAAGGAAGCCGCAAGGCACGGAGGGTGAATAACAACTGCACTGTGGTTAAAAGGGGTTTCGTTTTCGATCTGTACCTACCTGGCCGCGATGTCATGGGGGGAGGGGGATGTTTCGGCGCCCGTAGACACTTACGGTGCAAAAAAGTGAACAGAAAATCCTATTCGATATGATCAGTTTCACCGCACGATGCACGTGACAAATATAACATAAGGTTAAAGGATAGGAAGATCGCTTTATAATTGAATTTATGAACCATTTGTTTATTCAATTCTATTTGAATTTGGATAGCCAAGCATCGAATTGTTTGTTTTACACAGCAAACGTTAAATGTTTGAGAATTTGGTTACTTCCATTTTTGTCCACCGAAAAAAATTACTATACGAAGATGAAGCATTGTAAGGTAAGATCCCGGAGGCAATAGGCGCAAACGACTAAGTTAAAAAACGAATCACAAGCACGTCACTCTACGCATGTTTTTATTAGCTCACCAATGCAACATAGAGATATTTTGAGGAAGATTGCTCAAAAATATAATTGCAGCCCCTAAGAACTGAATCAATTTTCAATCGAGGAGTTTTGTGATATTCAATAAACGCTCGTTGACATTCACAGTTTTTGGTATATAAAGACATATTTGTCCCTTCCATAGTCTTTATGGTGCCTTATTTCATGTGGAAGTGGGTAAATCACACTGTCTAAAGAGCTTTTCTACCTATGCCACCTCTCACCACCCATTCCATCTTCAAATATGGCAGACAAGCGACCTCATATACTTTCGTGTACTGTTGTTTGCGAAACCTCCCTATTATGGTGCACATATTCAAAGTTTAAAAAATGCCAATACCTAAAGGAAATATATAGGTAAAATATATCTGCCGTGAGAATTACATGGAAGAGATGGCGAATTTTCATTTATGAAGTTTTTTTTTTTTTTTTTTTTTTTTTTTTTGCCAAGCTTAAAACGAAACAAACAAAAACAAACAACAAAGAAACAAAACCCATTTTAAATATACATAACTCTATTCTTGACTCGCTAGAATGTATATAAAAATGCAAATTCATGTCTAATAAACTTCAGAATCTTATGAAACATTAAAACTTGCCAGTTTTTTGGCGAGTGGCCGCTGCTTTGGAACAGGTGTTTCGCCCAGGTATTCCATATCCTCAATTCCCATTCTCAAGGCGGACATTTGTAATTTTTCGCCAATTTTGGAGAGCAGGAACGTTATCCAACAGTTTCTCAGAAGTTCGGAGCTCAGCCACAAGACAGCGGGAGTGATCAGGTCGGCTTAAATTAAGCCTGTCGAACGAAGGCTTTATGAGATGGCCCTATTGATCGACTTCTTAAAAAAAGGTGCTTGTTGAATGCAACGAAATAACATATTCAACAAACATAATATTAGTCTATCAACAAGATCGGTTGATTAGACTTTCAAAAAGTCTCTTTTTCTTCTCTCTTAAAAGAAGGGCAAGATAAGTCAGGGAAACCAGATCCACTTTTTTTAAACCAAATAGATGACGCACAAAACCAAGTTATAACAGCGGCAATGCTGCATTTAGTCGACGAACGTATTTATTTGTAAATCGACCTCATCAAACATCTGCAATACACTGGGCTTTTGATTCAAGTACAAATTTCAGGTCAGTTAATACTGGAAGGCTGAAAGCAAAACAAGATTATGAGATGTATGTAGATTTTTTTTTGTTCTATTGAATCACATAAGGAATTTGCATTTAAGAGCGAAACAAACTGCTTCCGCTATAAGAAAAACTAAATAACAAAACACAAGCTAGGAGTTATTTCACCGTACTTTTGTTAAAGCTATTCACACACATAATCCAAACGCTACGATGTTTGAATATTCAATAACTTGTATATACAAGATGGCTTGATTAAAATTTAATGAAGGTTGTTGCATAGGAGTAAACGGCTTAAGATATACGAAACACTTTATGGAAGATTAGGTTAAGTTTCAAGTAGGAACCAAACTTTACGTAGTGGATTTGAAAGCTTGCGTAATGATGCGAATTAAGCTGCACCGATTAATTGTTACCTGGACAGCGGACTAAGTGAAAAATATACCACAATAATTCCGAATCCTAAAAAAAAATTTCTTAACGTTTCAATATTTTTTGACTCGGTACCAAGTTGAACGTGAAACACTGTCCAATTCAACTGACAGTATACTTATTGTCTTGAGTGTCTTTCTAGTCTTTAATCCACTCGAAAGTGTAAACCTCCCCTCCTTTTATTATTTCAGGGGCGTCTTGAACCAGGTAAATCGGTTTCATCGCACCGAAGGTCTTAGCCTTACAGAGAACCAACTGGTGAGTCTCAAGGAGATCTGCCATCACATAGACCACGTGTTCTCTCCGGTCGTCTTGACAACGGCAAAGCTGTATGTCGGGCTTCTGCATGGTGTCTTCAACAAGCTTTAGCTCTTTCCGCCAATCGACTTCAGGGCCGAGTTTCAGCCTGAACCCTATCTGTTTTGGATTGCAGGCCTTTCTTTCTATCTTCACCTTGATCAAATCTCCATCGGGCAGTTTCTTCGATTTGCTTCCGTCAATATCCCCGCAATCTATATCTTCTAAAGCCCTTGTGTACGTAGCCTACGAAAAAAACGTAGTTTTTAATTCATTTTTATTCAATGATAAAGATACTTATTTTATTATTAAAACTACGATCCAGTAGATGGGTCCATGATCAAAAGCATTAATCTGTTAATTTCTAATACGCTTTTATGTATATAAAATCTTAATGGTCGTCTAACAATCTTCTGAAATATTCAAATTTACCAGCTTTTTGGTCAGTGCCCGCTGCTTTGGAACATGTTTGGAAACAAGCACTTCCATATCCTCATTTCCCATCTTGAGGCCGGAGATGTATATAATTATTCGCCAAGTTTTGAGAGCAAGGGCGGAAGTTATCCAGCAGGTTTCTGGGAGTTTGTAGTTCTGTCATAAATCAAAGCGAGCCATTTAAGCTTGCCAAACACACTTTCTAGAAAGGACCTATTGATTCTTCAAAAAGGGTGCGTCGAATGCACCACAATAACCTTTTCAATGAAAATCAATTCATATTATTTTGTTACTATAACAAAAGATATACCGATAAAAAAAGTTTAAAAGGCTTCAACTATTCTCTTTTTCTCTTCTTATTTAAAATAAGGGCAAGATAGGTCAGGGAAACAGCTCGTTTTCTCAGTTTGTGGGAACAGAAAGCGCACTGAAAAGGGTATTCACTACATCGAGCGTTACATTATGGCTCTATCAGTAGATGTTTGAGAGACACCGCCATGCACTTAGGCTACCCTCAACATGTACCAGGGCCACAGATGATTCTGGCTAATCCATGGTATAATTCTCTACTGTGACGGTACAGAAAACTGCACGCTAGAGACATATCTATGAATATCTAGTGAAAAACCAAGCTGTCTCCTAGCTATCTAGCTAGAGACATATCTGTGAATATCCGTAAAAATCTATCAGTCGCCCTGGTAGAGGGTAGGTAGGGGGTATGTTCAGGGACTTTATTCCCTTTCACGGTTTTACCAGACGTTCGCTCCATGATTTTATTTACCCGAATCCGTGTCGCACGCAGTGGGTGGGTGGGTGCCTCCTTAAGCCTAGGTCCCAACTACGTTTTGGACGCACGGTTTTTTTAGGTTCCTTGCGTCCGGCTGGGACGTAGCTAGATCGCACGTAGCGGCTGTTGATCATGTCGCAAAGTTAAGCCTACGTCCTAACTACGCTTTGGAC